AGCAGCCAAAACACTGCAAATTGTCTAATGCCTCTGGGTCAGGTGGGAGGGAGGAAAGAGACTCTGGTGTCCTTGAGGTTTCCCCAAAGCTGGCTGTACCCTCATAGTAAGTAAAAGTAAAGTAAAGGTCCTCCCGTTGATCGTCGATTTGCTCGAGCGGGCCCAGTAACGTCTCCATTGGAGACTTTGTTGTTACTGTGTCTGGCATATCGAATACTCTCGGTAGCTTGCCGGGCTCTCCGTACCCTCATAAGGAGATTCATATCCTTTTCTGCTTGCCGCTCAGCTGCCCAGCCCTGTCCAACCTAATCTGGGGCACTGAATTTGGTTTCTGCTTGTGATACCGAGTGCATATGCAAATGACTGGAAAGTGCTCCACTTACCAGCCAGCTCTGTATAAACCTGTTATTCAGTGAGCAGCACCAGTTTTTGCCCTGAAACCAACACCATAGGAGAGGGTCAAGGAGAAAAGGACATAGAAGCTCACAGTGGAAGAACCTACCAAACCCCAGAGAACTCGGTTCAATGCATAAACCACCAGGAACCTCAAACACATCTGGAATGATGGGAAACTGTTCCTGTGACACTGATTTTGCTGCCATCTTGGTCTGAACAAAGAGGCTGCTAATGAACTCCTATCTTCCTGGGGTGCTCTCTGAGGCCTAAGGAGCAGAAAGTTCCATGTGCATCCCTCAGAGACACAGCTGGGAAATGCAGTGACCTACTGCAGAATGGGAGTAAGACTTGGCACTGTGAGCCTGCATCCAGGCGCAGGTGCTCACAGACCAGCAAAAACTGAGTCCAATTGTGATTCCTGGAAGACTCACCTGTGCATTTTTTTTCTTTTGGTCACACCCAGCAATGCACAGGGTTTACTCCTGGCTCGTGCACTCAAGATTTACTCCTGGCGGTGCTCAGGGGACCATATGGAATGCTAGGAATCAAACCTGGGTCAGCCGCATGCAAGGCAAACGCCCTACCTTCTGTGCTATCACTCCATGCCCTCACCTGTGCATTTCTTGAGAAATGTGGCTTCCTAAGGAGGAAAGTCCTCCAAAGAAACTAGGCAAACTCAGGGAATCTGAGACTGTATCTGAGTAGCTGCTTCCACAGAGAGTCCCAGAGATGTCTGAACCTGCCCCTTCCCATTCTGCTCTCTGTGGAGAGCAGCACACAAGAAATATTTTGCCTTAAACACGCCACCATTGGGGCTGCCTCTGAGCTGACTCTGTTCAGTTCTAGCTTGTTTGTTCTAAACCAAATGTCTTCATAGTCTTCATAGTCTCTCTTTCTGGAGGGCAGATGGGTTAGCATATAGTAGAAAATGTATAGGAGATGTAAGAACAGCACTGAGCAGGGGAAACGGACTTGAATCTAGTGGGGAACTAACTCCCCCTGCCACCTTTGGGCTCCTGGATGGAAGCTGACATTGTCCATGGGCAGAGAATCTCTCTATGGGGTTTGGAGCTCAGACTAGCAAAGATTTGGGGCTAGGCTATTATAGGTTTCCTTATGGCCCTCCAGTGTGATTTCATCAGTGGAGAAAGAAAAGAAAGTGCAAAGTTTAGGGGTTTGTGGGCCAGTGTTGATTTGAAAGTATGCATGATGTGATATATTTTTTCTTTTCTTTTTTCATTTAAATTAGCTGGCCAATCGGTGTTCTGAAATTTCAGATTTAATCAGTAAATAAACCTAAAATCTGGATATTCAAGTTTTGGTGAAAAATGAATTACGTAGAAACATTGGGTCTACTAGGGCAGTTCGTTAGAGGAGAGTAGCAGCTGCTTCCTGTAGACTGGATGGACCCTGTGTGCAGAGTTATCAAAAGCATCAGACCCCAGGGCTTAAGTAATAGTGCAGCTGACATAGTTTCAGTCCCGGCACCCTTAATGGTTCCCTGAGGCTTCCAGGAGTGAACCTGAAGCAGACTCAGAGGTAAGCCTGAAGCACCTTCCAGGATGGCCCAAAGACCTGAAAAAAGGTGGAGGATGAGGGGAAAGCCAAGAGAAACTATATCACTAGGGAGCCAGCGAACACATGGTGACCGAGAAAGGACTGGTTCAGAGCATCTCAGGCCTTGGAGCACAGGGTGACTGAGCCCAGGACTGAAATAGGCTAGTCTCCAAAAGTTGGTGGAAAAAGGAGATTGTTTGCTTCCATTCTCTGCCTCAGGACCATGAGTAATCTTGCTCATACCAACAGAAGGCAAGAGTCCTGTCAGGCATCCAAGATTGATGGTCATACCCTGCAAGCTTCTGCCTAGCCCTATGCAGAGAACGCAAACATACGTAACCCAATCTGGATGGCATCACATTAGCACTGTGGTGAAATCATTTATTAAGAGCTTTTTCAAAGAGATCAAGCAGATTTCAAAGACAAGTATGTGCATGCACAGCAAAATATTGTCTTGGGATCTGGAGCTCAGAACCTCAAAATCTCAAGCTCAGGCATCACCAAACCCTGATGAGTATGAACTCAAGCTTAAATGTGACCAATGACTTGAACTCAGAATTTCTCAAGAAAAAAAATTACACATTTCTTACTATATACCCTTAAAAGGCTGAGAAAACTGTGAAAGCTACGGGCATATAAATATCTTCGTTAAACCTAGGAAGATGTTTAAATCTCAAAGGGAGCAATAAGAACTACCAGATTACAAAATAGAAACCAAAGAGATAGTACTGAGGTTAAGGCACTTGTTATACAGACAGCTAATCTCAGTTGAATCCTTTACACTGCACTGGTTTCCCAGTACATCCTGAGACAAACCTTAAGCATAGAGCAGGACTTTCCTATTCAATACACACACACACACACACACACACACACACACACACACACACACACAAGCCAAGACATAGCACACATAAATCACATTTCTGCTACCTCACTCATTACACACAGGAAAGAAGATTTACAATTAGTAGAATAAAAAGAGCAATTAAGCTTAAGACTGTTCAAAGTCTAAATGTCAGTCTATGGTATAACGCTTTGAAGACAACACCACCTTCCCTGTTGGTGCTAAGACTCCAGGTTGACCTAAAGAAGAAGGCAGGAAGTAGTCATATAAAGCACAGGCATTATTATGCGACTGCCCTTTGACCTCAGGACCTCAAAGGTGCTGCCTTCCTGAACGTCATCCTTCACAAAACTACCCAGACATGCAGACATGTTCCCTTCTACACAAATTTTGTTTGCTTTTGAGCCACACCCGGCGATGCTCGGGGGGTTATCCCTGGCTCTGCACTAGGAATAACTCTTGGTGGTACTCAGGGGACCATATAGGATATTAGGGATCGAACTCAGGTTGGCCACATGCAAGGTAACCACCCTACCTGCTTTACTATCACTCCGGTCCCCACACAAATTTTCTTAGTTTCTTCTTGGGTTTTTTCAAACAGTACTCCATCACCTCCTTCTCTCATCTCTGCCCCAAAACAGTATCTTGAAATGACAATGTTGTATGTTATTTCCCACACTAAAGAAAACATTTCCTCCATGGCTGCATGAGGAATTAAAAAAAAAAAATTAAGACTTTTCTGGAGGTCCACAAAGGAAGAATTGAATTTCTAAAAAATAGATCATTAAAAAAAAGGGACTGAACTCTGCTTCTCAGATTTTCAAGGAATAGGATGAGCAAGAGAAAAAATACACAAATTAAATTAAAATATCAAATGAAGACAAGAGTGTTGCAATTTATTAATTAGCATTGGAAAGATAACTGCCTCTGAGTTGTTGGAACTAGCTTTTATAAATATATTTGCATACAAATATGAACTCAAATGCTCTCAAACAAAAGTAAGAAACACCTGGAAACTAAGGCCTATCTCCCAAGACCAAAGATCATATTCAGAATTTGCTTCATCACTATACATTCTGTAGAGAAACCATTAGAATTTTATACTGGTCATGGCAGTAAAAAAAATAAACTTTAGAGCTCTATGAGAAATATTATAAACCATCATGGAGCTAAGCTTACTCAACTGAAGGGACTTACATTTGTTTTTTAAATAATTAGTGAGTACCTTTAAATTGCATGCTCTGGGAAGAGATATGAAGTAAAAAAGTCACACATGTTTAATATTTCCAAATGACTGGCAATGCAGAATGTGTCAAGCTAAAGAAATCTATCAACTGGAATATTCATAGATTTCATAAGATATACTTTCGAGTTAACGTCAATTGATTCTAAAAAGGCTTTTGACAAAAATTCTCCACACATCTATCCCCAAACTGCAACTCCTTGTTCACCTCAGGGTCAAACAACTAAAGAGTAGAACAATTTGTCCATTTTAATACCTTCACTAAGAAATCTAGAGACGACAGCAAAACTCAAAACACACATACACACACACACAAGAACTCTGTGGCGTTAAGCACATAAAATCTTAATTGTACCATTGTGCCTCTGGTGTGACTAGTTTTGCAAAGTTTATGAACAGGCAATGACAAGGAGGACCAAAAGGAACAAAGAAGATATTGAAAGATTGATTTGACTGAGAGAGCCGCTCATTTTCTTTTCCACTTTAATGATCTCTTCATAATTAAAATGTCAAACATTTTCTCAGGAAGACTAGGCAGAGAGAGAGGAAGGGAGTGCGAAGGGAAAGAAGAAACCAAGTCAGCTTACCAGCTGACTTTCTAAATCCAGACACCATGGAAAACTGTGGTTCATGCGATAAGAGGAGAGAGACAGTCGGTGCCAACAAGGCGCTCCTTTTCCAACCAGGCCTGGGGAAGGTGCCCTGGGAATAGTCTAACCTGCCCAACAAGTTCTTCCTCTCAGGCCAGCCCTGCCCTGCCCTCCTCCAGTTCTGCGACTCTCAGTGTTCAGGCCGGTTTCACTGGCTGGATAAACACACGTTGACCGGCCTGTCCTCCCTGCAGGCAGGAGGGGAAAGCGAGCAGCGGGCGCTGGAAGCCGGAACCCAGAAAGGGATTTAAGCATATGACTGTGAACACTCCAAAAACCCGAGGACCACTGGCCACACTGCCCTTACCTGTTGTAGCATCTCTTCCGCGGCATTGAGCTTCACCTGGTGCCCTTCCAGACACACTTCCAGGTCCCGAATCTTCTCTCCTTGAGCTTCCACTTGGTCTGTGAGGACACTCACCTGTCAGGAAAGTAAAAGCAAAGGTGGAGAATTAGGGTATGTGCATATTGCAAGAAAGGTGTCTCACTAAAAGAGGTGAGCTGGGAAAGCACAACACTAATTCTTAAGAAACAAGGCTTTGCTTTAGGGTGGGTGGCAGGTGGGGAGAGGAGTGTCTCAGATAAACAAAACTGCAGTATTTTCTTACCTGGTCAGGGAGTTTCGGCCACTACCTGAAGGACTTTGGTTTCCTGCTCTTGACAGACTCAAGAGGAAAACACCCAGCAGTCAAGATAGCTGCCCTGGGCTGGACTCTTGCTCCTTTCGCCTCTCAAAGAGTGCACAGTAGTCCCGACCTGAAGGCATATCTCAGCTGGCTTGCCAGGACTTCTCTGCCACCTCACGTGGAAGAGCAATCCAAACTTCTGCAGAAACTAACCAATGACTTTCCTTCTCTCATAAGGGTGTGAGGAGTGCTCACCTATCAGGTGAGTGTTCTGAAGCAATTAAGGAATGTAGGATGTAAAGGGCATGTATTAGCACTGACAAAACTTGGCTCAGAGAGATCTGGTGCTTCGCAGGCCAAAACATGAGTCTAAGTCATAAATACACACAAGCCACATTGCGCACTCAGTGGCAGGGGGAGAGTTTCCCTCTGAAGAACACTTGAGAATGTCTGTTGGAATTAATCAAGCCATAAAAACCCATTAGAGCAAAAAGTCATTTAAACAACATCTTTTATAGGGATGAAGATATTTTCTTAGCCTTCTCTATTAACTGCTCCAGGATCCTTTCTTTCATCAATACGGACTTGAAAGAAAGAAAGTGAAAAAAAGGAGACAGGGTGATTTCACCCAAATAATCAATGATGGATAAACGAAATTCCTTTTGGCCTCTACCCAGTGGTTGCCACTGCCATTTTCATGCAGATAAGCCAATGCTACTTTTCAGTCTGCAAAGGAATTAGAGTTAATGTGAATATAGTAAAGTAAAGTAAAGGCCCTCCCGTTGATCATCGATTTGCTCGAGCGGGCCCAGTAACGTCTCCATTGGAGACTTTGTTGTTACTGTGTCTGGCATATCGAATACTCTCGGTAGCTTGCCGGGCTCTCCGAGAGGGGCGGAGGAATCGAACTCGGGTCGGCCATGTTGGCCGCTTGTAAGGCGAACGCCCTACCCGCTGTGCTATCGCTCCAGCCAATATTTAATAATGTGAGTAAATAAACTTCATGAATTATAAAGCTTCTTCTTATGAAGGAACTAATCTAAATAAATGTGGCTGCTTCAAGCTTCTCATTTTTATGTTCCCAAGTGATGAATGCATTATTAAAACACATTCCTGGAGTTGATGCATGGTGAGTTAACATTTCAATTATAATCGCCAAGGAGGTGGATTCTATCAATGAGGCTCATTTTTAACAGCAAATTTTGTGGCTTTTTGTTTGTGTTTAACCCTGTTGCCCGTCACTATCAACAATCTTGACCTTTTCAGCTACTAATTCTACTTTCAACAGGCTGTGTTCTTGGGGAGACCTTTACTTCTTGGGTTCCATAGTTTCTAGTTTGGGTAGAATGTTTTATGGTTAATCTTATTATGAGGATTAACATGTATAGTTTATACCATGCCTTGGGGCACCTCTTGGAGGATTAATACAGGTTCCCCAGCACCCACACCTCAGAACTCAGTAACATATAAAACTGAAGACACACACACTGGGGGGTCCTTGTAAGCTCCGATTCACTCTACAAATTGTAAGTGGAGAAGTGCACAAAACTGAGACAAGATGTATAAAGATTCTAGAATGTGACCTTTACTCAATAAAAATAAGTATTTTTGGGGCCCCTAACATGACTAAGTGAGACTAGGTATGAGGAAAATATAAAAATATGAAAACAATCTTGTTTTGTTTTTGGACTACACCAGCACAACTCAAGGCTTACTCCTGGCTCTGCACTCACTCCTGGCAGGCTTCGGGGATTATATATGGGGTGCCGGGGACAAACCCAGGTCAGCCACATGCAAGGCAAGTGCCCTCCCTGCTGTACTATCTTTCTGGCTCCTGAAATATAGAAATCTCTGCCTTAAGAAGTAACAATCTAATGAAGACATAGTTTTCCCATTGTTCTGTTTTTAATCTAGAAACAAATTGTCATATGTAATGTCTTACTCTTCTTTAAATAGACCCAGGAAAACATGCTGGGCCATGAACTCCAATCCATTCCACTGAGCTGCCATGTGAGTAAAAACAAGAGGGTCTTCCATGCTGAGGTTCTATCTAACCAGTGCAATGGAGCCACTGGAGAGCAGGGGAAATCACAGAAGAGAAACTTATATTTGTTAACTACCTGTAGTATATTCACAAGCTCCTTGCAGCATAGAAACCATTAAGAAACCATTTCTGACTTTGTTGGTAAACACTGCTTCCCAACTGTGTTAGGCTTACTTAAATATTTTGAATAAAAAATATAATAACAAAAGAACATTATAACATAGAATTTCTTTATTAAATTATAAATCCTTAAGTAAAGTAGAACTGTTATTTCAGTCAAGATGGTTCCTGGTTCAAAAAATTCTAAATTGAAACGTCTTATTGTAAGTCATGTCATTGCGATGGAGTTTCAAATTACACTGTAAAAGGTCTGCACTATCATATGCTAGAAGATCTACGTTGTTACCTGTCTGAGGGCAGTTTCCACTGAGTTTCTCCAGGGCCACCAGCTCTAGCCATGGAGTCCTTGGCTGTGATTCCCACATGCCATGCACAATTATACCTACAGAGTATTGGCCAACCACCTCTTGATCTAGAATGTACCTCTCTGGGCATTCATATAGCTCCTTACCTGGATTTCTTTGGGTCTGTTCTATCAGGGAAGACTTCCTTGACTACACAGTCCTTATCCTATTTTTTAACACAATATTTGTGGCCATCTGAAAAATTTTATACATTGGTTTAGTATCGATGCATATATGAATGGTAGCTCTGGGAGAAGAGGAACTTAAGTTTTCTCTGCTGCATCCCAGATTCTAAAATCAGTTATGGAAGATAATCCTGTACAATTTGAGTATTTCTTTTTAATAAAAAAGTCTATAAAAAAAAAGTCTATAAAGGGGAGTTGATTCAAGGTTAGAAAGAGAAATTGTGTAATTGTGCACCTGGGCAATTAAGGGCAGGACGAAGGTAAAAACGTAAAAATATTCATTGGGCTCTATAAAACGTCTATTACTCTTGCATTCATAAAATAGAGTGAAATTAATGAGAGAAATAAGGTAAAATAGAAAGGAAAAGATGAACACGATATAGCCTATTAACTCTAGTTCCCAAACTAAAATCCTGCCAGGGAAGAATTACAGAACCCTGACTGCCCCCCTCTCCCATTCCACTACCAGTCTCGTCTCCACCATTCATGTTTTGTAAGAAGCTAGGACAATCTTCATGGTCTCCAAAGTGTCCATCACAGTATTTACTGCACATAGGTGCTTGACCCTTGCTTTTTGCACTTAAGAGCCAGGACGCGCTGTGTGCTCACTGACAGCTTACCCATAAAAATGTTCAACTCTATGTTCAAGCAAGGAGCAAAGTTTGCAAAGAGGTGAAAAGAGTCTGGCATCCCTCTCTTCAGACCAAGAGAGTCTCCAGAGGTTTGCTAGCCCATGCTAACAGCTCTGGGGGATTTGGACTCAAGGAATCGTCTAGATGCAGCCTGTCAATCCACTGGTTCCCACTCGCCCTTAGGCACTTATCACTCATGGCTCTGTTTCACTAGTGACTTGAGGCCACATCTTATCTTCTTTTTCTCTGCAAGATTCCATGCTCCTGGAGGACAGGGCCCCATTAACCAGTCTGCCCACAAAGCCTGCAATGCATGGAGGCAGGTGTGTGTGTGTGTGTGTGTGTGTGTGTGTATGTGTGTGAGTGTGTGTGAGTGCATGTGTATGGGGGGTGGGGGGTGGGCTTGCATGTGAAAGATAAATGAATGCATTTGCAGTTCCCAAAAGCCAATGTCAGAGTTAAATTACATCCCCAGTTACTTTTACTTTGTTTCAGGGGGGAAAAAAAATCTTTTTGTAAACATAGACTTTGGGAATAGGAATCCAATAGAGAAAACTCCTTGCCCTTCCCTCTCACCTAGGGCAGCGACAGAGTTGAAGGCAACAAGATAAGCTGGTTCCCACCAAAAAGTACCCACCTGTAAAATGAGGGACTCCTTATCTCCTTCTAGGCGCGCCAAACGTTCCTGGTAAGTTTCATTACTAGCAGCACCATGGGGATTTACCTGGGACTAAAGGAGAAGGGAACAAAATATATTTTAAAAGGTTAGGAAGACATCTGACCAGTTTCCCAGTGAAGTATACAATTTTTGAGGACAGTTTTGCTGAACATATGGGCAAAACTAGTTACTAAAGCAAGAAAATGCAGGATTTCAAAATTACTACAAGGAAGACCAGATGCCGCTGTTAGGTGTGCCTGGAGAATTGGCAGAATCAGCCCTCGGCAACCTCACCCTTGGCCAGAAAGGCCTTCGAACACACCACAACGTGATCAGACGTGTTGAGTCTGGTTTGGCTGGAGGCACAACGGCAGTAAGGGTCTTCCCTGAGGGGGGTCAGGCTAGTTGACCATTCACCAAGGACTGACACAAGCACCTGTCACACATGGGCCTCAGGATCTCCAGGAAGCTCCAGAGCCTAGCCTGAGCTGACAGCAGTGAGGCCGGTGGGCTCCGGGCTCACAACACAGTGAGCCATGCGAGGCCCTTCATCAACTCACAGGCCCTTCCAGGAGGGCTTGGCAGCCAGACTGGCAAGTATTTCTGCAGTACAAAAGCTGAGAGAAGCCAGTGAAGATGAAACACCCGGAGGAGAACCCAGAGAATGATCAGAGAGATCTCTAACGCCTTGGGACAACATGGGAAATGAAAATTATCCAGGCACCGTGAGAAAAGGGAGATTTTCCACAGAAGGAACAAGGCGGGCATCTCGGAAAATGCCCGGAGCTAGAGACAGGTGCTGTGCTTGGATCCCCTTGTGGGTGTGTCTGTCCTGCTTGTGACAGGGAGGAGGGAGGTACTTGCTGATGGCACTAAGCTGGCCCAATGCCACCTGCACTCCCTCCTCTCACGCTGATGGATGCCCAAACCAGAGAGAGACCCATGCAGGCCCTCTGGAGCTCTGTGCCATGAACAAGGTGATCCAACTGGTGAATGGGGAAGTGACAGTCACCACAATCTGGACAAAGCTGGAGGTCCCATGCTGCAGTGCTTAGGGGGCCGGTTCCCTCCTCCCCCAACACAACTCAAGCCTGCAGAAAGGGGAGGCGGCATTCTGGCTTGGGACTGGTGCCCTCTAAGTTCATCTCCCCACATTCCAACATTCAGAATGAGCCTTCCAACCCCATCTCTTGACAATAGGCACCCCGCTTGTCCACCTCCATGCCCACCTGACGGCAGGTGACAGAGCCAGGCTGGGACCTGGGATGGAAAAAAGGGCCGGTCATTCTGCAACCAGGCCCCTTTTCTGTGAGAGAGCACTGACTGGCCCTATGCTGAAAGTGAAGGGGTAGGGGGTAAGCCTAGAGCCATTTCCAAGGGCAACTGTGCCAGGCACAGACTGCCATAACATTGCCTCCTATAAAACTCCTGCATCTTGTCCATTGTTCTTAGAGCTCTTTCATACCTCAAACAAAGGTCCTTGGCCAGCACAAAGGGCTTCTGTCTGATGAGGGCAATTGGTGGTTGCTCCGTTAATAACAAACACAGTTCTCACTTAGTCAAGCTCTCTGACTAGTCTCCAAGGCTATGGCTAGAATACTGTCTCAGAACCCAGCAAAGAAAGGAAGGAGATGATTCTTAATCATAACTCAAAGGCTTCTCTGGGAAAGAACTCATGTGATGGCTATGTTTAGGGGTGAGGGACTAGAAAGGGACCCAAGCACCCAAGTGCGGTTCTGTGAAGCAGCCACTGCCCAAGCAGGAGCTGAACGAGAGAGGCGAAACCAAACAAATCTCCTCAAGACTCCAGCAAGCCAACAAAGCACCAACGCCTTGGCCAGACACTTCTACCAGTAGATCTTGTTTTTTTAAGTGAAGCAAGATAGTTTTTATTAAACGAAACTCACTTAGATGTGAAAGGGGGAAGAAGGAAAGGAATACAAGTTCAAAATAAACAGGAGCTTGAAGAAACAAGCAAGAAGCAAGCATGTCCCCCCACCTCCCTGTTCTTCCGGAAGACTCAGAAGTCACATCCACACCCCAAGGCAGTCACTCAATTGAAAAGCTACTCCAGCCTTACCATCCCGGTAAAAATACTAATGCTCGGGGCTGGAGAGATAGCACAGCGGGTAGGGCGTTTGCCTTGCACACGGCCGACCTGGGTTTGATTCCCAGCATCCCATATGGTCCCCTGAGCACCGCCAGGAGTAACTCCTGAATGCAGAGCCAGGAGTAACCCCTGTGCATCGCCAGGTGTGACCCAAAAAGCAAAAAAAAAAAAAAAAAATACTGAATGCCCTGAACGAGCACCATGATCACTTAGCACCTGTATTGCAAACCATAATGCACAAAAGAAAAAGGAAAGAGAGAGAACAAGAAGGAAAGTGTCTCCCATAGAGGGAAGCTGGGGTGGGGGTGGAAGGGTGGGATATTGGGGGATGATGATAGAGAAATAGGGGACATTGGTGGTAGGAAATGTACACTGGTGGAGGGATAGGTACTGACCATTGTATGACCCAATTATGAACAGCTTTGTAATGGTCTATCTCATGGATATTCAATTAAAAAAATTTTTTTAAGAAGCAAGCATGGACAGAGAGGGAAACTATATATTCAAGGGTACATGGGCTTAAAGAGCAAGCCAGATTGTTTTAAAATAGAGTTTGAAAATAGGCTAAGGGTAGCAGAGACAGTACTGGGCTGTGTGTTTTGTACAGGTGTGTGTTTTGCATGCCTCACGTCTTTGATCTCTGGTACCACATGATGGCCTGAGCACTGCTGGGTGTGGCACTGGTAGTTTCTATGCACTTCCTGCAATGACCCAGGTGGTCCTTGGCACCTCAGGGCCTGAGCAGTATCCTCAGGTCTTTAGCACTGAACTGGTGGCCTGTATTTTGTTGTTGTTATTTTATTGAGCAGCCAATGAACAAAAGGGAAGTATAATGAGTCAAGAGACAGATCAGAAAGGAATCAGAAAGAAAATCTAGGAGAAAGTCAGAGGAGAAGCATAAGTATTCTAAGGGATGGGTTCTTGACCACTGTATGACTGAAATGTCATCATCAAAGTGTATAAGTCTGTAATTGTTTCTCACGGTATTTCATAAAAAATTTTTAAAAAGAAGCAGAGTCTTGTAGAACTCACTACCTTCCTGTGAAATGCTCCCTCACCCCTGCAAATAAATTTTTAAAAATATGGGTAATATGAGCCAAAGGCCAAAAGATTTCCATGATGACCAGCTCAGCATGGTGCAGGCAGAGCTGCAAATGCACCACAAGCATGCAAGTAGCACCAATGCACACCAAGGCTGCAGAAAGAGTTGTCATACACCAGCTCACTCCCTCTTTCCCAGAGGCTGGTGGGATGGGAACTACTCTTCAGCTTATTTAATAAAGGCACTGAGGCACAGAGGGTATTAATAAGGCACAAACAGATCGTTTGCCCATGTTACCATGTAGTAAGTCAGTATATTTAGAGCATAGCTGAGAAGACTGAGTACCAACTTTGCTTATAATACTGGGATATATGTGAAGTCAGTTAAAATATCAGTGAAACATTGCACGAACCTAAATGTTCATTCACAGAGGATTGGTGAAATAAACATCCATGCACAGACAATTTGTAGCATTTAAATATTGGATATAGATGTCTACGAATAATCACAGAAGGACAAAACATACTGGATAGTAAAAAAAATAAATCAAGTTCCAAAGAATTTGACTGTGTGACACTGGAAAACTCTACTCAACAATCCCAGGGCCTGGGGGATGACTCAGAGGAAAAGCTTGAGACTGTGAATTTGACCCCCAAGGCTGCCCCGCCCTGTGCAGTGCCTGCAATGCTGAAGTTCAGCTTCAACAGTGCGTAAGCTACAGCCACTGTACCTAGGTGAATGCATGCATTGAAATGACATGTGAGAGCCCCAGCAAGTGTCACGTTATAAGGCTGCGGGAGCACCTAGATCAGGAGCACCTAGGTCAGGAGCACCCCCTCCTAAGGTATGAAGCTCACCAACCATAATACGCACAGCCACCCCAACTGACAGTCCTCTGACAAGCACTAAAGGAGTGTGATCCTGCACAAACATCAGAGCCAAGGGTGTGTGTCCCCCCACCTAACGAACACCCAAAAAGAGAAGTGGGGGTAGGGGAACTTTTCTAATTAATGTTATAATTCCTGTCTGAAAATTCTGAGTCCACATGGATGGTTATTTCACAGAGGAATCCTGCCAGGGGTTTGTCCAAGGTAGAAATTTTGCTCTAACTATAATTAAATTGGGCATCATACACAAATGTTTATTTCCTTGCATGATGAAAATACATTTTAAAATCGAGAAACACTGAGGGTCTAAACTGTGGGATTTAGGATCATCCCCACCCTCACCCAAACAGACTTGAGTGTCACATCCTCTCTCTGACACACTGGCCCAGAGGAGACTGACACCCTCGACAGGAAGGTCCTTCCCTCCCCTCAAAGTACCATTCTAGGGGCTGGAGTGACAGTACAGCAGGGAAGACGCTTGCCTTGCACAAGGCAGTCCCAGGTTCAATCTCTGGCATCCATATAGTGGCCCTCCGAGGGCTGCCAGGAGTAATTCCTAAGGAGTAATTCCTAAGTGTACAGCCAGTAAGCCCTGAGCATCCCTGGGTGTGGCCCCAAAATAAGCAAACAAAAAAACTGCTCATGAGGGCTAGGTTCAGGCCATGAACTAGAAAAATGGGCCCAAGACCTGGAGCACAGGATCCTATCTGCATGAGGGAGTCTCAGGTTTCATCACAAGCACCTCTGGGAATAGCCCCTAAACATCACCCGCCCATAAACAAAACAAAACAGAAGAAAATTGCAGTCCAGGAGGAGGTGGCTCAGGGAAGAACCTAGAAAGCATCTGAGAACAGAGCCAAAAAGAGAAGAACTTTGGAATTATATTACTGAATGCCAATATTCATCAGCCAAAGGTGAAGATTCAGTTCAGTGAGTAAATGTATACTCCTTATCCCAGTATGGGGCAACAGGTACAATTGCTTCCTGATGTCATTCCTGGATTAATCATAAAATGCCTTTTATCACAGAATAC